GTATATCTGGAAAAGTCTTTGATTGCGGTCAAAAGGAGCACTACTTTCGTGTTCAGGAGGTCAAGGAGCATCATTCCTGTGATTTTGAACGAAATCGAAGGGGTCCGCCCAACGTGCCATATGCAACATATGCAATTTGAATGTGCACGCATGCGTATATCTGGAAAAGTCTTTGATGTCGGTCAAAAGTAGCACTGTTTTCGTGTTTAGGAGGTTAAGGAGCATCATTCCTGTGATTTTGAACGAAATCGAAGGGGTCCGCCCAACGTGCCATATGCAACATATGCAATTTGAATGTGCACGGATGCGTATATCTGGAAAAGTCTTTGATGTCGGTCAAAAGGAGCACTATTTTCGTGTTCAGGAGGTCAAGGAGCATCATTCCTGTGATTTTTAGCGAAATCGAAGGGGTCCGCCCAACGTGCCATATGCAACATATGCAATTTGAATGTGCACGCATGCGTATATCTGGAAAAGTCTTTGATGTCGGTCAAAAGGAGCACTACTTTCGTGTTCAGGAGGTTAAGGAGCATCATTCCTGTGATTTTGAGCGAAATCGAAGGGGTCCGCCCAACGTGCCATATGCAACATATGCAATTTGAATGTGCACGCATGCGTATATCTGGAAAAGTCTTTGATGTCGGTCAAAAGTAGCACTGTTTTCGTGTTCAGGAGGTTAGGGAGCATCATTCCTGTGATTTTGAACGAAATCGAAGGGGTCCGCCCAACGTGCCATATGCAACATATGCAATTTGAATGTGCACGGATGCGTATATCTGGAAAAGTCTTTGATGTCGGTCAAAAGGAGCACTATTTTCGTCTTCAGGAGGTCAAGGAGCATCATTCCTGTGATTTTGAGCGAAATCGAAGGGGTCCGCCCAACGTGCCATATGCAACATATGCAATTTGAATGTGCACGCATGCGTATATCTGGAAAAGTCTTTGATGTCGGTCAAAAGGAGCACTATTTTCGTGTTCAGGAGGTCAAGGAGCATCATTCCTGTGATTTTGAACGAAATCGAAGGGGCCCGCCCAACGTGCCATATGCAACATATGCAATTTGAATGTGCACGCATGCGTATATCTGGAAAAGTCTTTGATGTCGGTCAAAAGTAGCACTGTTTTCGTGTTCAGGAGGTCAAGGAGCATCATTCCTGTGATTTTGAGCGAAATCGAAGGGGTCCGCCCAACGTGCCATATGCAACATATGCAATGTCAATGTGCACGCATGCGTATATCTGGAAAAGTCTTTGATGTCGGTCAAAAGGAGCACTATTTTCGTGTTCAGGAGGTCAAGGAGCATAATTCCTGTGACTTTGAACGAAATCGGAGGGGTCCGGCAAGTTCACTTTAGGACGGGAAATCTGAATATCACTTGTATTTGCCTCTTGGCTTTGCTCAATAGGTTTATCGACTTTTTTTCGCCCTTTGGTCTAACAATGCCTCTGGTGCTTAAGTATATTGTTATTGCAGTATGTATAGCTAATGTCCTTCATAAATACGAAGCTGTCACGTGTAAAACGACTGCAAAAAGTGAGAAAAATTGCATGACCTTGAACGACCTTGAACTTTAGAGACTTCTCCTGAGAAAACTATGCGACCGCGTTTGATGCAAATTAGTTTTTGTAAAGAACTGCTGAGTCTTAATCATTTCTGAAATTTTCATGAAATTTGATGAGGTACTATTTTTCCGGGAAGTTTACTAACCAGAATATTGTACTAGTAAAACAAACGTGAATAACTTGGAAAATACTTAATGTCGGTAAATATAAAGATGATTTTTGCACTTAGGAGCTCATGGTCTATCTGCTGTGCAATTTTCAGCCAAATCGAAGGGGTCCGCGAATGTGCACGCGAATCTGAATGTGAATATGATGCAACTATATGCACGTTTAGGGCCTTGGGTGCATATACCCTGATAGGTGCAGGGGGTAATATTCAAAATCCTCAAAGAAGAAGACCATATGAATACAAATCACGAGGGCTTCAACATTCATTTAATTAAGTCCGATTAAAATTCAAGATGCTGCACGTGCACGAATTGGTGCACGAGTAATATTGAAGTTCGCGCGAGTGAGGGGTCGCCGTGATTCGTGAATCAGTAGGAATTGATTCCCGTCCGTCCTTCAGAATATTTTTGCATTTACAATTGAAGTTGGTATCTAAACACTATACAGTAACTGCAAGAGACGGATACCCGCTGCCGCCGTGAAGTTGAAAATATTTATGAGAATATGAACGGCGGGAAGAAAGTCAGCCGTTCTCAGTCGCTAGTCTGTGCGGCACATAGAAATTCCGAAGACATTCCGGAAGCCGAAAACACGGAGAAGAAAGCTGGCAATGGCGATTTAGTCACAGGAATGACAGAACTTCAACTGTCAAAGGAAAAGGCCGCTGCGGAGGACCGCAAGCGACGCGAGGCCTGGGAGCGCGGACAGATGGACTACATGGGCTCGGACAGTTTTGAAAACATTTTGCGCAAGATTAATCAGACACTGGCCCGGAAGATCCCCATTGGTAATGGAGACAAAGAGTAAGCCAGACATGATATGAAGAATGGCGGTGGTGACAATCGACAAACGATGTCACGCTTTGCAGAATGAGGTCGAGTTGCAGAGTAAGTGAGGCCGTCGACAGCTAGCGTGACGGACTGGCGAACAAGGAAGACGCTGTCCTTTGTGAAACTGAGTGAATTCTTGGAGTTATCTGAGGCGATAAGCGGCAAGTTGATGGACCACTGCCTCAGAACCTGTGATCGGGATCAACATTTGATCGCACTCAGGAATCAACGCCGTGGCTCGTGATTGGCACTGTTGCCACACATAGCTGATGGGCGCTGTAGCCTGGTAGGTGCGAACGATGCACCCGTTGTGTAGCCTGTTACCGGAAATGAAAGCCAATCTAAGGTTTTCTGTGAGAATACGAACTGTTTTTCACTTCTGACACGACATAACACGGTGAATTGGCTTTGTGCAATGATTTCAGGTCCGCAATTGTTCTCACTACAAAATGAACCATAACGATTTTCGTGGAAAGACATTTAAGATTAGTACCTAAGGTTTAACAGCTACAAATCACATTCAACAATAGTTGTAACTGGCTATTTCAGCTTGTCAGTTGTCTTGTCTGGTTTTCAGAAAGCGCACGTCCTTCATGCATGAGCAAAGGGCATTGCGGCGCAGCATAGTTGCAGGCGTTCTGTTACTGCCATCTAGCGGCAAAATATGACAATAGTCATTGCGGCACAGCATAGTTGCAGGCGTTTTGCTACTGCCATCTAGCGGCAAAATATGACCATAAGTTACTGCGGCACAGCATAGTTGCAGGCGTCCTGCTACTGCCATCTAGTGGCGATTCGTGAAAATGGCAGTCATTGCAGCACAGCGTCAGCGTAGTCACCGGCGTTTTGATCCTGCCATCTAGCGGCAAATTGTAACAATGCGCATTGCGGCACAGTGTAGCTGCAGGCGTTCTGTTACTGCCCTCTATCGCCGAAATAAGGAGGTACTGAGCATTGCGGCACAGTAATATAGTTTCAGGCGATTTGCTATTGCTATCTAACGCCAAATGTGAAGGTTTAATCCTTGCAGCACAAACATTGTTTCGCCGCGAATTTCGCAACATCGTAGGCAATGGTAAGACAGTAAAAATTACCACACATTCAGGTTACACAAAATTCATGCCGCCGTTCCTACGAAAATAACCCAAACACAACTTAGGAAATCAATTCGAAATTAACAACAATGCTGTGAGTGCCTGAACCGAAAGGACAAAGAATAAGACATTTCAAACTGAATCCTGAAAAGTGTGTCAGATAAGTTAGCACGTTTGTCTGGCCCGGGCCGTGGCCCCTTATGGGTTAAACAATGGCAATGCAACAATAAAAACAGCTCCAGAAATGAAATCTACAGGGTGTTTCACTAAAAGTGTCAAAAAGTAAATGCCTATTAAAGATATATAGAATATGCAAATCACGTGTCAGCGCACGTGGTTTTGTTGCAAATTTTTGGACATTTATTATTTATCCATTTAAGATATATTTTACACTCATACGGAGCGAGGGCAGGAGGCCAAAGTTACTAGTCATTTTTTCCTTATGCAGAACAAGAACAGGTTATTTACACCGCAACAGGAGGGATGAATTACACTTATGTACATTTGGTGCCATCAGAAACATTGAAACCGTATGCCGACTTTTCAGGAAACTTTTTACTCTCTCACCTCGCTACGTTCCAGATTATAAAAGTTTCAAAGGGCTTGTTGAGAGGTTTAAAAGGGTTCCTTCGATGCCGGTTCCAGTCCAAAAAAGGCGGGGTTGCCCCCACCTCTCGGCGGAAACCGTTGAGAAGGTCAGGGTCTTTTTGAGGGCTTTTGAAGATAACAAGAAGCTAATTCCAACATCAGAAATAGCCAGGGCCTTACAAGTTATTAAAATCAACCACTGTAACGGCTGTAGCCACCAGGAACTGACTGGACCAGAAGCTCCTGGGCCGAATAATCAGCTGCCTCGCCGCCCGCCCCTGGCCAGCGCGAAGTCCCGATCTGTCACCGCTAAGCCTCTGGTTTGGTCAGTGACTCGGTAGCTCTCGCAGAGCTGAGGAAGACTCAAGTCGCATCACTTCGGGAGCTGAAGAGCACAATTCAAGGCTTTGCCGACAGTCTGGACGCTGAAGATGAAAACGGGCTGTGAGGCACCTCCGGACACGTGCCGAAACGGTGCATCAAAAGAAGGGGCAGATGTGTGGAATAGGTTTGAGTGACGGTGATATCGTTTTTATATATTCAAATGTCCAACAATTGCGGATGAAATGATATGCAAATTTCCTTAGAAAACATTGTTATTATGTGCATTATGACCTTTTACTTTTTGACACTTTTAGTGAAACACCCTGTACCATGGAATGATTAATACCACAAGAAGATGGTTTCATTCAAGTATCCCTGCCCTTCAGCCGGGCCGATGACCCTCAGTATTTAGTTCCACCTCGAAAAGTCAAATGGCAATGTCTTTTTTATATAAATATCCGATACACAGCTAGGAAACTTAGGCATGGCACAGCTCACAGTAGCAAGAAAGCACCACCAAAAACTGGCTTTGCCGTCTTGCGCGCTACGGTACGGTGGTTATCCGTAATAGGTACGGGATATATTGCTCGTCACTCCAAGTACAGACCGAGTTAAATCTACTGAGAAAGTCATGTCCCAAAACTCGGAACCGCGTGACTGCGTCCCACTGAGAAGGGTAGCTACGATAGAGCAAATCATTCGCAGACACGCGTTTGGTTCCTGGGAAGGTAGGCTATCAATCCAGGGCATATTTTGTCTATCGCCTTACACTTAACAAGGCAGAAGCTGCGCAGTTGGTTTTGTTCTAAAAAATAAAATATCATGTTTACTCCCAGGGTAACGTCGGATGTTACTATTTAACAAATAACAGATGAACTCGAAAGACGTGGACCTAGTTTCTCACTTGTAGCTGACAAGTATATAGCAGAGTGCGCAAACCTACCGTGTAAAGCCACCATGACATTGCAAATTGGGCAACTACAGTCCGGCAGCCTCCACAGCAAAGGCCACACGCCCTGCAATATCCCATCAGTCCAGCGCACGCTGCAGCATAAGATCTTCTCACCCTGGCTGCAATCAGACGAGATGTGACAAAAGCGCCTAGCCGGTGTTGCAACTACGCCAGTAGCGGCTGCGCGCAGTTCACTGCGACCGACAACCACCCACCCCGCAGGACGGTACCGTGTGGACTGTTCGCCGGCCGGCGCTCTGGGTCCATCAGGAGTCGAGCACCTCCCTCCACAGCGGACGGAAGCAGAGCTCGCTCTGGGCGAGCACCACACTCTTCTGCCACAGTTCGTCCACCTCGGGCTCCATGTAGAACTCGCGCAGACCAGCGGTCAGCCGGAGTCTGCGGAATGCGCGCAGACAGAGTAGCGCGCGGCCGCGCTGGGCGACTCCCTGCGGCCCGGGCGTCAGACGGCGCAGCGCCGACTCCGCCTGGCGCGCCGCCTGACGCAGCAGGTCAGACAGCTCCAGCTGGTAGTCTGCCGGCAGCTGTCTGACCAGCGGCAGCGGCTCCAGCTGCCGCACAGACAGCAGCAGCGGCTGCTCGGGCAGCTCCGGAACCAGCGAGAGCAGCGCGCCGGTGGCCGCGCGCGCCAGCAGAACGTCCTCGGAGAAAATGTTCATCTCGCCCTTGTCGAACACGCGCTCTTCGTCCTCCTGTAGACAGATGACGGGGAGGGGAAAGGTTAGCGGAAGGTCAGACTGAGATTGAGCGCGCAATCCCACAGCAGCTGAACTGGAGAACAAAAAGCAGCTACCGAAAATTGTTGACAAAAAAAGCAGAAAACACAGGCACATAAACAAAACCATCGAACCTAGCCGTACAATCCCGCCTCAAACCGTCACATTAAACCGTTACAAGAGCTGTGACCCCATTGAACAGTTATATTCTAACGCTTCGCCACCGACTGACCTGCGCCCGTCCCAGCTGTCCACCATCGTCGTCCGTGAAGATCCAGTGGAGCAGAGTCAGCACGGTGAGCTTCAGGTCCCGGGGCGCCATCCTCGCGCAGAACACGGCCACCGCACGGTGCAGGATGCTGTCGATCTCCTCCTCCCAGCTATCCTGGTCGTGATCGTCCGTATCCAGGGCGTCCACCACCTCGGCAGCGGCGTCCCGCACGTCGGCCTCGTCATCGGCGAGGAGCGTCATCAGACAGCGCCAGAGGGTCATCTCCTGGCCCACTGTTAACGAGACAAGTCATCAGACAGAGGCAGAGACATCAGCCATCAGAGAGCGCCACAGCGTCATTCCATGACCCACTGTAACAGAGACGCAGACAGCACACAGCGTTATCAGACATCAGACAGTCATTAGAATTATACAGAGGTACATAAATCAGACAGCATTATGGGACAGAAGCATAATATCGATCAATTAATAATCAAGAATATCATGAAGCGGATAACTCCGATGGTTGCACCCGTTGGCACACTGACCTGACAGTTGCCTGGTGGGCCAGAGCAGCGCCGAGGCGGTGGCGTGACAGGCGGCCTGTCGCAGCGTTACGGTGCCGTCCACGGAGCAGCAGCGCTGCACCAGTCGGCACCAGTCGTCGAGCACCGCCGAACCAGCCGGCACCACACTCTCGTCCAGTATCTGCGGGCTGAGGCGGTCCAACACACCGGCCGCCAGACGTACCATGTCGGCCCGCACGTGCTCGTGAGACGCAGCTGCCCGGCATAGTGCGGAGACCTCGGGAGTGGGCGGGCCAAGATCTGTGTCCTTCGCTGCCGATGGGTCATTTGATCCGGTCTCCTGAGCTTCCATAGTCCCCTGAGTGTTGTTAAGCTCAGCCGTCACAGCCTCACTTACCGTCTCCTCTACCGTTACCGTAACTCTATCCTTCTCCATCACAACTTCTGGCTCAACTTTCGTATCCAGTTCATCCCTCCTCGGCTTCTGCTCGGCGTCTGCCGCGGCAGTGACTGCCGCCAATCGCCGTACCACCTGAAGGACTGTATTATCCCAGATTGCAGCTGCTCCGTTCATCTTGGCTAGTACTGCAAGCACTGTTTGCAGACAGGGAGCCGGGAGGGGACGCGATGTGTCCGCCAGCCGCCGAAGGAGCGCTGCCGCCGTCTCCTCTAGCCACTCGTCCTCCCCGGCTCCGCTCGGGCCAGCGGTTTCCTGCGGCTGCGGGGGCCGCTCCGGCTGCACGCCTAGGTCCGGTACAGGCGCCGGCCGAGCCACCGGACTCAGCCGGCTCGGCGGGGTGGTCGGCTCGCCACCACCTGCCTCCAGGATCAGTTTCTCCTTCAGTAGCTGTAGGTGACGTTGTAGAGCGTCGTATCCGTCCAGCTGGGCCACATCCACACTCCGTTCGGCACCTAGCGTCCAGAGGAGACCCACGGCCGCCACGCGGGCGGTCTCCGTGCCATACAGACCCGCTGAAGGACGTGTTAGTAGCTCGCTGGCAGCGGCTATCACTGCCGGCGGTGGCGGCGGAGCTGAGAGTAGAGTTCCGAGCCTTACGGCGGCTGCCAGCGCGTCAGCAGCAGCGGCGGCAGTGACGGCGCACGGGTTCTGGGGTCCGAGCAGACTGGCCAGCAGGAGGGCGCGGTCGGCCACCGGCCGCCAGCGCAGCAGGTCAGGAGCCGTGTACATGGACGTTTCCAGGACGCAGTGGCGTAGCATGTGCTGGACCTGATGGGAAGAACACGTGGTCACACTACCGCAGCCGATCAGGCAGAACATCGTGGCACATCAGCTGCGAGCCATTTGCACTAAATTGAGTAGAAACACAGCGACGGGTCGCGAACATGGAAAGGACAATTCACCAGCCAAATAACAAACTGACCGTCGCAAATATAACCGAGGGAATTTCCCTAATCTTTGAAGTTTCTGCAGATACAACGCAGAGTCGAAACAAGATCAGCTGCAATTCCCCAATGCACCTGCTTCTCTGTTCTGTCCTAAAAGCCCAGTCTCACAGCCCCCCCCCCCCCCCCGCTACTTCCCGCCGGTACGTACCTGCAGCAGCCGTCCATGCAGCTGGTTCTGCCGCTGTGTGCCGTCACGTTCAATGCTGTCCAGCAGAGCCAGCGTGGCCTCTGGGTATCCCGAGTAGGGCACCAGCGAGCAGATGGCACGTGCAGCCAGTTTGCGGGCCTGCAGTACAGGAGAGGCGGCCGCCCGCTCCAGGGAGGGCAGGAAAGCGCGCAGCTGCGGGCACGGAAGGCCGTCGGCGGTCAAGTGGCAGCCATACGAATCACTGTCGGTATTCGGTCGGCACTACTTGGTACTTCGGCACTCGATATGGTAGCAGCAAGGCACACAAAACGACCCACCGTCTGTCCCAAAGAGCCTGTATTGATCATAACTCATTGTGATTTTAAGTCGTAACATCATCCACTCACCGGGTACTGTGAGTCGGCGCCCTCCACCGGTGACGGGTACAGCCGGGCCAGCAGCAGCAGCACGGAAAAGGCTCGCGCGCCCCGCGCCATCTCCTCCAGCAGAAGGCGTACAGCTCCGGGTGGCGCAGGAAGAACGCCGACCCGTCATACAGTTCTTCTTGGCGAGTGTGTCGCGGCTGCGCTGAACGCC